AGAAAAATATGAATGGTTAGTAATGTCATTTGGATTAAAAAATGCACCACGAATATATCAAAGAAAAATTGATAATATATTTAAAAAATTTAATGAATTTCTTATTGTTTATATAGATGACATACTAATATATTCTAATACTAAAGAAGAACATATGCATCATTTAATCCAATTCATAAATGAATGTAAAAAAAAGAAGGAATTGTACTTTCTAAAAAGAAATCTATAAAATAAAAATAAGAGATAGATTTTCTTGAATTATCAATAGATAAAAGATGAATGAAATTGCAGACTCATATATCTAAAAAGATGAAAAGTTTTTCAGATAAATTAGAATCTAAAGAACAAATACAAAAATTTTTAGCATGTTTCAATTATACAGAAGGATTTATTGAAAATCTTTCTAAGAAAATGCATAAAATACAAATTTTACTTAGAAAAATAAATATTAAAGGATGAAATGAAGAACATATAGAAATAGTTAAATCATTAAAAGAAAAATGTAAAAATTTACCAAAATTAAGATTATCAGATGAAAAAGATAATTTAATTTGAATACAGATGACTCGGATAAATATTGGACAACAATATTAAAAACAGATTTACATGAAATTTGTAGACATTCAAGTGGAATCTTTAAACAAATAGAAATAAATTATACTACTCATGAGAATTACTAGCATTTATTAGAGGGATAAAAAAGTTCCCATTATTTTTATTATCCAAGAAATTTATTGTTGAAACTGATAATTCTCAAGTTGTAGGATTAGTCAGGAATAAACTACCATCAGAAACTCAATACAGAAGGCTCCATAGATGGCAAACTTATTTAGCATTTTATAATTTTGATAAAGTTCATATTAAAGGAGTTAATAATTTTCTTGGAAATTTTTTTAGCAGAAACATAGAATTTGCTGATTGATAAAGTCAGGGTCATGGAGTTATACCAACATATTCTACATATACAAAAAAGAACAAATTTTCATAAAAAAAAATCTGAATACATAAATACTGGACCAACACAGATCTCAAAAATATTCAATTCAAATATAAAAATATTGTTCAATATCACTACCGAGCATCATAAAGAAGTCATAGAACTCAAAAATCAAGTTGATGTTATTGCAGCACAACTAAAAGATATACTGTCTGAAATAGATATACCAAATAGCTCAAAAATGAGTTTTCCAAATCAATACCAAACATGGATAGTTGGAAGCAGTAGTGGACCCAGATGTGACAATATACCAATTGATAAAAAAGGAGATTCCATTTCAGTATCATCAATCAAAAAAGTGGTGATACATGGAGATAGAAGAGATTCCAAAACTATTAGCATCATAGACCAGGATGATACAATCCCTTTAGATCCAAAAGAAGAAGAGTATGCTAAAATAGTCAAAATTGCTTATGAAATAAAAATAAGTGATTCATATTTCATCTTTCCGAAAAATAATGTTTATCCCAAAATAACAGTCATGGAAGGAGGAGACCCTTCGTTTATTATGATTATGGCAGATTATGAATTTATGGATTTTATATATCCAGGAAAAAATTTGATTGAAATTTTAAAATTTGATGACATATTCATAAAAGAAGTATCTAGATTTGCCAAAGGACAAAAAATATATTTGAAATTCTATTCAATAAATTTTAATACGATGGAATTGTTTACTATCCAGTTGAACATATAATATCAATTGGGTATGTAGCAGCGAACTTCCAAATAGATGTGGTGGAAAATGATAGAAAAGTTCTAACAGTGACAAAGTCATGGATCAGACATAAAAGAGTACTTGGAATTAAAGCCATATACAATATTGCCAAAAAAATGTTTGATAAAAAAATTTCATGCTTGTATTGATATGAAAACTGGATGTTGGTATCAAATGGAGGACATGGAAAATCAGAAATCTTGAAAAACTACATTACAAAATTCGAAATACATTAATTTCCAGGATGTCCTACCACTATAAGAAAATCCTGTCAGCCAAGGGAATGCCCCAACTGCATGTGAATACATAAAAGATAGATGACAATAATAGATAAAGATGCTCTTTGGATAAAAAGTTGGAAAAGTATGTGAAGATAAAGAAAAATGAGGAAAATAGAAAAAATCAGATGTTACATTTGAAGATGTAGGTCCAGAGAGAACAATAATAGAAAGGCAAGTGTGCCTTTGCTAATGTACTGAATGATGTAATAGATCAATAATAGAGCCCCATATATTTGAATAAATAGAGGCATTGTAATAGGAAGAAATCATCTTAAAATCGAAGTATCTTCTCTCAAATTGTAAGCTCGATTTGTAGTGGAGAATCAACATTTCCAAAACCAATTTTTCTGGAAATCCCTTTGTACCAAATAGAAGTCATGTAAAAATTCTGATAGAAATAAAATTTCAATATTTTGATATTAATATGAGTTTTTAAATCTTTATTCTCATATATTCTTGAAAGATCTAATAGAAAGTTTCATTTTTATTTTAGCAAAAAGAAAGTTTTTCTTTAATAGAAGTCTAAAATTTTATTCTTTAGAGTTGATACAGTGAGAGCAAGAAACCGAAATAGTAAAGATTTCTTGAACGCAGGAGGCCGTTGAAGCAAGCGGTTTACATATTCAGAGCTCAAAGGTCACTCGTTTCTAAGAATAAAGATCCAGATCAAATCTAAGGTAAAACTATTAAATTTTTGCTAAAACTAGAATGAATCTTTTTAGCTCTTAGAGAATCAAAGGGATTAATTGCATGATTTGATGATTATTTGTATGATTAAATGACAGGATATATAATTAAAGGATTAGATGATTTATTAGAAAGAATGTTAGAAGAAATAAAAAATATTTATTCCCAATTAGAAAATATGGATGCATCTTCTGAAAAATATAATATATTAAATAATAAACGTGAACAATATGTTGCAGATTATTCAAATTTATTAGATCATAGAATGAAATTATATTCAAAAATTCAAAATAGAATATAGTTTAAAAAGATTAGGATATATGTTGCAATATAGAAAGAATCATTTCATTAAAAACAATATAGATTTTTCCATGAAAATGAATAGTAATAGGCCAAATAAAAAAATTTCCCTTATATAATAGAGTCCTTGAATCATTATGACAAGATAATTTAAGAATCTTCACCTATATTTTTGTAGCCCCCGATTGATAACCATGATCCAAAAAAATCATTTTTTCTATATACTCATTTGCGACCACATAATCACATAACAAAATATTTTCTTACCTTCTAACCACACGTTTTCCAAAAATTTACGAAAATTGCATCAATGGTTCCTACCATTTTCAATTTTTACAAACTTTATCCTGACTTTCAATCTGTGCCAGCGAAGTTTATAACCTTAAAAAAATATACATCTAAAGTCCAAATGGATATAATCCATTAACTTTTCCATTTGTTGACTAAGAATATAATTTTGATCAGATTATTAATTATTTCTATAAGGGTAAAATGATAACTTTATTTTTTCATATGAAAAAGAATTAAATAAAAAAAATCATTGTCATCTTCCACCCATACCCCATCCACTTCTCTATCCATATACAAATCCAAACCCCTGCTATCCATCATTGTCCACAGTCGGCCACCGTTGATCTTGCCCACGACCACTACCGTCACTACCAACACAAAGCAAAATCCCAGATCACAATCACAACATAAAGGAAAACCCAAAACCAAACCCGTGCTACCCATCATTGTGCACAATTGCTCGTCGTCATCTCCGTGGCCCATGGCTGGCTACCATCGCCACCAATACAAAGTAAGATCCCCACATCACAATCACAAAACAAAACAAAACAAAGCAAAAACCTAAAACCAAACCCCTACTACCCATCGTTGTCCACAGTCGCCCACTACTGTCCCTATCGCTACAATCTCCTACGGCCAATACTGTCACTGCCAACATAGAGCAAAATTTGCAAATCAAAATCACAGATCATAATCACAACATAAAAACAAAACCCCTAAATCAACCTCTATATTGAGTTGATGATATATCGACCCTCAAAACTTTCTTTTGCCACCAAATTGATGAGTCTGGCTGGAGTCGACACACCCACCACTCCATATTTTGCAAAGCTTAAAATCAAGAACTTCCCTTCACAAACATCACTCCTTCCTCTCTATACTTCCACTAAACAGACCTTTCACTGTAGGGCTTCCACCTTAATTTGAACGCCATCCGCCACTTTTCAAGCAAGTGTATTACCCTCAAAATATCAATCTTCATCGAACGTATAGGACGCATTTGTGGATTCAGTTTAGTGTAGGGACAGAGGTGACAATGAAAGCGGTTCGACGGTTCTAGGTGAAAATTTAGAGCTATAATGAGGGAGATGAAGTGAAAGAGAAAATAATGAGTTTGAAAGAGGTGGAGAGAATGACAGTGGCATGACACTTCGAGGATGGCACGAACGATCGGCAGTAGGTGGCAGTGGTGACGAGATTGGTTTTCTTCATATTTTAGTGGGGGGGGGGGTGGAATGGGGTGGAAAGAAATAGATACAAGATGATGTTTTATTTTTTTCTTTTTTATACTAAAATTGTTAAGTTACTATTTTGTCCTTTTAAAATTTGGTCAAAATCATTTTCTTGGTCAACTGATGGAAAAGTTGATGGATTCCATTCATTTGGGTTTTAGATGTATATTTTTAAAAGGTTAGAGACTTCCATCGACACAAAGTGAAAGTGAGGGTAAAATTTTTAAAATTTGAAAATGTTTGGAACTGTCTCTACAATTTTTCCAAAAATTTATCATTCAAAACTTTGTTTATGGATTTTAAAGGACATCAAATGGGGGGCAGTTTCGTCATATAATTATACACCTAAGTCTTTCTGTTAAATAATGATTGTCTGATTAGTGTTAACATTTCATAAAGTTGAGTGACTAGTTTGAAACAAATTAAACTAGAGTGGCATTTTTACAACTAGCATCTCCCTTTCACAGTGTAGCATCTCCCTTTCACAGTGTTATATACCTCCTTCGGAAGTCGCTACGCCATCTCTTTCCTCTCTAGAACCCACCCTCTTCCATGCCACAGCGACCGCCACCGCCAATTAGACACCCCACCCTATATCCTTGTTGCAACACTCACTATTCAACTCCACTCCCTGTACTCACGTAACCAAAATTAAGGAAAATGTCGTCGGAGCCGTCTTCACCGACCAACTTCTCCTCCATAGCACCACTCCTCCGCAATCGCCAGTCGCTCCCCTCCCACTCCTCTCCTCTGGCTATCATCCTGTCACGCATCGTCTCCTCCCAGCGCCGCGGCGGTGCTTCTATGCTGGTACGGGAGACAGCAGCTCGTGAGCTCGAGGAGCGCCGCGCCGACTTGGGATACTCCAAGCCTGTCGTCGCGCTCGATATGATGTGGAACTTGGCCTTTGTGATTGTGTCGATTGTAATGCTGATTTGCACGGGTGATGAGAACCCTAATGTGCCCATTAGGGTTTGGGTTTGTGTATATGCTTTACAATGTCTAGTCCACGTGTTTCTCGTTTGGATTGAGTATAAGAATCGGAATTCGAGGCGGAGGAGAAATGGGAACGGGGGGCCAGAGGCGGATAATGATTTTGAGAATCAGGAGGACGAGAGAAACAGGATTTCAAATAGCTACAGGTTATATCTTTTTATTTATTTTTATATTATGGTGTAATGTAGAAAGTATTTTATGGCATCCAGGGGTTAATTTTATGAATTTTTCGGGTTAAATGTTCTTTGTTGTCTCCTTGTCTACTTGAGTTGGAAATGAATTTTAATGTGTTACATTACCTGGTACCTTGGCTTCTTATTTTGCTGGATATAGCTCCAGCTGCAACTCCTGTACCCAAAAAAGATGACAACAGCTTTAACTCGGACAATCAAGTCCGTGGGTTGAATGAGTGTTTAAGGAGACCAAATCTATGTTGTATTTACAGCATATAATAGCGGAAGAAGAAGAAGAATACCTGGCTCCACCTTCTATTTCTAGGTTTATTTACAAGATGAACAAATCTATCGGGTGAGGGGACATGTGTCATATGTTTTCAGTAATATTGGATAGAAGAATATCGCTAAAATATGTCCTTTTTTAATGAGCTGGCAAATGATTGTGCGGAATTAGATGACAGCTGTTGATCATTGCACTCGGTCAGTTAGCAGCTACTTGTCATCGAGCTTTCTCCTGGGAAAGTTGCTCGAATGTTAACTGCTATCGAGGCCTTAACGTTATTAATGCTCCTAGATTGACAAATCACGCTCATGTTTGACTTGTAGTCATCTAGCTTCATTGTCAATTTCTTGTTCGTTTGATAAAATAGTTTGTGTATGTAGTGTGTTCGAACACATGATTGTTTTTGCTTCTTTGTTTAGGAATTCTGAAATTATTGTTCGAGTTTGTTGTTAACTGCATAATTTTCTGGGAATGATTTTTCCATTTACGATAATATATGTTTCAAAATGAATGTCATACTAAGAAAATCTTTCACCCTTCAGTATGAAATCTTTGTTTTCCCTTTTATATTACTGTATTTGAACTAATTGTCTTAGAATGCTAAAATGGTTATGAAATCATTGCGTAAGCCTCAAGGCACTCTGAGGTTAAATGTCAACAAAAACCAAACCAATCAATTAATCCAAAAAAAAAAAAAATGGAAAAAGAAAAAAAGAGAGTTGAGAGATTTTAAGAAGTTTTCTTGCTTTGACTTTGAAAGGAAACCTAAAAATATGGAAACAAGAACATGAAGATGAGGAGAAAAAATGTAAAAGAAAGAGAAGTGTTAATGTGGCACTGAACTATATAGGGAATCCTCATTTTATCATCACTTCTTTGGTCACTAGTCTTCTGCTGTTGATATGCTGCAACTTCACTTGGGGGATTAAATATTTTTTGTAGGAATAACAGTCAAGGGCACGCACAAGCTCTTCAGATATTCTTTTTCTAACCTCCTATTCTCCTTTTCCTTTGAAAATCTATCTTTCGCCTCATCTTTCGTTCCTAGACATGAAACAGGTAATAATGCTTTCGCCTGTCTCTAGGATCTGCCACTGGGTTTCCCTTTTAAGTAACTTATAATTTAAATAAACATTTGCATTTTATACTTTAGCGAGTTTCAGTATCATTCTCCTTTGACCTTAAACATCTAGAATTTTATCATTTCATTGCCCACTACCTCCTTTGTTAGGTTTTTAATGCAACTATTCTCCTGACTTTACATCAAGTTACAATTTCTATCTTAGAACTGTATTTTGAGTTTCACCATTTGGTTGTAGACTTGAAACTCTTGAGATTTTTTTTTTTTTTACACTTCTTTATAGCAATATCGATCACCATTGCATAGTTAGGGAAACAATTAACCTAATAACAACACTTAATTGTTTCCTGTTTCTGAAAGCTATACAATGATAATTTTATTATTTATTTTTATTTTTATTTATGTATTTATTTATTTTTTAAAGAATTTGCTAACACGAATCTGTAAGTCATCTTAAAGTCGGAAAAATGTTACCTTTCATCTTTCATTCCTTGAAATTAGTTTTCGCGTTTTCTTTTCATATTTTATATCACCTTTTGTTTCATGATCGCTTAAATTTCCTTTAATGAATATTCCATCTTGATTAGTGATTGCCACAGTATGCTCATCCATGCATTCCCAAAGTCATTAACTTGGGTTTCTAATCCTATTTGAAAATAATAGATCTTCTACCTTATCTTCTCTAAACCTTGTTCAATGATTATTTAGCCCCTGTTGAGCCCCTTTTTCTTGTGGAAAATGTGTTTTGGAATAGTGATTTTTTTGAGAATGTGGGTTAAAAAATGAGAAGTTTTGGATTTACGTGTAAAATTATTTTATTGTGGTTGAAAATGAGTTTTGGGAAAAATGGGACTCAAACAAGGGCTTGATGAATCGATGAATACACTCTACTTATACCTCGAGGAAATCTAGATTCCCATGTGCACAGGCTACAAGACAGCTATTGCTATTCTTCTTACTTATTAACCAAAGTTTATTATACGCGTTCCCTAATTCTTTCACATGCACTAATTTATCTCTTGTATTCAACCTGTGTAGACTCTACTCGTATGCAAACTCTATTGACTTGTTAACTTTAATTCCAAGCATAAAAATCCTTATTCTTCAACACATCTAGACACAAAATGCCATGCCACTAATTGCGTACGACTTAGCTAACCTTTTCTTCATGGAACTCAGGGTTTGATGCCATGCATCATTAGTAGGGTACACATAAATGAAACATTTTGAAGGATTCATAACAAACTTGCTGATCAAGTGCGCTGTTGGTCAAATATCCTTGGGGCCTGACTTAAAAGCTCCTCTCTCACAACTATGCCATATAACGGCTTATTCTGCAGCACAAGCATGGAATTATATAATTTCCGCTACGAGATAGCACTTAACAGTATGTGCATATAGCAAGGAGGAGAAAGGAAATGAATTAAATAATTAGTTAGAAAAGGGAAGGTTGGAAATGAAGTTGTTGATAGTTACACTGATCTTGGGTGGATAACAGGAAGGGAAGGGAAGGTAAGGGAAGACCTGTATTAGAAAAGGACATAAATTTTGTTTCATCTCCTCCCCTTTCTCTTGTATTTGTAATTTATTGTGAGAGTGTGGGTGCCTTAATATGCGTCGTAATATATACAGTTGCTGATCATGTTGATAGAACCCTGCGGCCAAAAGACTAACGAACGGAAAAAATTCAGGGAATTCACGTAAATCAGCAATAACAACTCAAAATGTAATACTGTATTGACATAAAATTCTGAGATAACATCAACAGGAATTACTCTCCAATATAACTCAAAAATTGACTGAAATGAAATGACAATAATGAAATGGATAAATGGACTTTCGAGAGGTCCAAACTCTCCCCAGACTTTCCTGATTTTCTCGCTGCCTTTTCTTCACTGCTTCTTCTGTTTATATAATGGCCCTAACTAAATCTGTTGTGACACATGCTGGTTGTTATAATCTTTCCTGCCCTTCCTTTTCTGCCCCTGCCTTGCTTTAACGTCTTTGGTATTTGATCTGTATAGGAGACCTATCACATGTATGTGGAAACCTATGTGCTTTCTCAATAATCTTGTCGCAGAAGTTCTTGTGTTTGGTTCTTTGAGTGCACTTTATTTTAAAGATGTGAAGTAAATTGCATTGTCTTTTTAGCCCCCGTTTGGCCCCCATTATTTCAAATTATAATTTTATCTCTTTTATTTTCAATCACATAATCTTCTATAAAATAATATTACGTGTAAATTGGAAACTTCTTTTTTCACCACACATTCTCCAAAAACTTATTATTCCAAAATTATAAACTGAATTAGTGGGGGCCAAATGGGAGTTTAGATTTTGATAATTACAACACTGGGTTTTATCAAAAAATAAAATAAAATAAAAGAACGCAGTGGTATGGAACTGCTGCTAAGAGCTAATTTGGAACAGGAATTATTTTGACAAAAAAATTATAACTTGTGAAAAATTGCAGAATGATCTCAACCATATAACTATTCTTCTGTATTTATGTAGTAGAATAATGACGATATAAGATTTTATCAGTAAAGAGATGTTACTGTTTAACTATGGAAGATGAATGTACTATCAGATTTAGCTTAAAACTTAAAATAAAGTAGTGATGTGAGCTAACAGTGTTGATGAACCAGCAATGCTTATATTATGATATTTTAGTTATCTTTTGGCACTGATTTAAGTTTATCCTTTCCTATTCTTTTGTGAGGGATACCATATCATGTAATTATTTTCCGCTCTTTATGTTTATTTGCTAAGCTATGGGGATGGGTTGGGAAAATGGAACACTAATAAAAGTAAGGGTCGACCCCTAATTACTTGTGTTCTAATTACTTTTCTAGTGATAAAAAATGTGTTTGCTCATTAATTTTGTTCCTGTAATTTGCTTTTGAAGCATCATCTTCTTGCATTATTTACTTTGGTTTGATGACATTTCAGTATTGCAAAACGTTGTGAATCAATGAACACAATGGTGTCGTTTATCTGGTGGATAGTTGGCTTTTACTGGGTTGTCTCTGGTGGTGAAATTCTTTTAAGAAGTGCACCACGTCTCTACTGGTAAGTCTAGAACCCATCTCATAAAATGTTTTAATTTGTAGTGCTCAATTTATTGTTGTTGCCATGTCACACAGTAATCAATCTTAATTTTCTTAGGCAGATAAAGCATATATTGGTCCCTTTAAATGGTGAAACAATCTCTGAAAGCCAGTTTTGCTTCTTTATGGCTGTTAAAAAACATCCTTTTTTGTTTAAATTGTCACTTTGTCTCCTACACTTAATTCTTAATATTTTTAGTTAAATGGTCAGATTCGTCTCCGGCAACGACTATTTTTATTATTATTATTATTATTATTATATATATATATATTTTTTTTTTTTTTTTTATTTTATTTTTATTTTTTTTTATTTTTTTTGCCGTCCTAGAATGTTTTGGAGACAAGGCAATGATTTAATAAACCATAGCTGCTGGGTTGTGCTTCTCTCCTCATTTGGTGCTTCTAAAAGAAAAGCAGTAAAACAAATAATATTCATGTCATTATCAAGTGGTCTCTCCCATTCAGGGAAACCCCCTTTTTTGAGGCTACTGCATTATGCAAAGAAGATTGGAATGTCTGAATCACGAGTCCATGGAGCTTAGTGACCTTAAGACCTTAAAGTTCGAGACTACTAACGCACATAAATTTCAAATTCTCCTTGGGTACTCAAAACCTTTTTCTTTTTTTTAATGACTATTAATCAAACATGGAGCTGATTAGTAAAATTCATGAATGTTATTGATTTTAACACTAACAACTGTGAAAAGTTCATTATTTTGATTCCTATGCATCATCTGTAATATTTTCCGCTGGTTCAATTATATTTAGAAATAATGAAAATGAATATTTATCAAATTTACTTGTGTGTTTGTGGGGGTGTGGCCGATGCTAATAACATTTTTTGATTCAAATTTAGTATCCTAATTATTTGGCCAACTTTTTGTGTAGGAGGAGGAAGCCTGTATATTGGTTTTGTCCTTTTGTTTTAGCTTCCACATAAACTTTCAAGTTATACATGAGGCATTATAAAAAAATTGCTTGGGTAGGGTTATGATGTTCATTTTATTAGTAACACTTCAACAAGTATAATTCAGGAAAACTTGATTCAAGCAGAGTTAACTGCAGGAAGTAAAAAAATTATTACGACATTGCAAGTAGGGTATAAACTTTCAACTCGATACGAGTAATAATTGATTAGAAGAACTATAATAATTGAACATTATATTTTGAGCTGAGCACTAGGAATAGTAAATGTTCCATTTTAATAACATTAAAAATAGGAAGCATTATGGATTGAGGATAGCTATAGTAGGTTTTCATTACAACTACATTTATATTAAAGGGCTTGACTGCGAATTTTCCTTTCATAGGAGCATTTGTTTTCAGTGAAAGAAACAAGCGTAATTGATGGTTTTCATTCTGGAAAATGTGTCCCTCGGACATAACTTAATGGATACATCAATCAAAAATTCTGTTGGTCTGTTTTGATAGCTTATTTGGAAACTTAGTAGAGTGGTTCGGAATTTCTCTATTTTGTTAGAAGGTTCTGCAACCATTAGCTGCAGAAACAGACTCTACAGATCTCTGAATTTGGTAATGTTACAGGTTAAGCGTGGTATTTTTGGCATTCGATGTGTTCTTTGCTGTGTTTTGTGTCGTTTTGGCATGTCTGATAGGAATAGCTCTCTGCTGCTGCTTGCCTTGTATCATCGCGATTCTTTATGCCATTGCAGGCCAGGTATGATGCAGAGCAATAAAATTAGCTTTGAACTGTATCAATTTTTTCTACATGGATCTTAATTTTTATTATGGCTTCTAAATACAGGAAGGTGCATCAGAGGCAGATCTGAGCATCCTTCCCAAATATAGATTTCAGATCTCCAAGGATGAGGACAAGCAAGGAACTGGTGGGGGCAGAATGGTTCCTATTGATACAAGCCATGGGTACATGGCAGAAGAGCGAATACTTCTACCTGAAGATGCTGTAAGTTCCCAATGTCCCAACTGGTACCTAGCTCTGATTTGCTGTAACTTAAGTTCTATTCAGACTTTTTCATTGTTGATAAATAGATATTATTATCACTTTATTATACTTTTGATTATTATTATTATTATTTTTTAGTTGTATTGATGTGTATGGTTAATCATTATGAAACACATTGGATTAGTTATAGATTGCCGTATGGAGGATGTATCCTGAAAGGGGAAAAATTGCTTTATTAAATAAATTACTTTTATGCGACACAATATTTATCACCCAAAGGTTCCACCAACTTTAACAATAGAACTTTTCTAAACTTACACAACTCTCCCGCTCTTCATACATGCTCATATAAAACCTCATCATATGCTAGTTATATGAAGATTAGGCTAGGGATGTCAACGAGCTGAAATTCGAGTCTCGGGCTCGGGCAAGTCAAATGAGCGAGCTTTTTCTGGGCCCGAGCAGGACCAAGCAAAAGCTAAGCCAAAAAAATTAGGCTCAACCCGAGCTTTGGAAAGGCTCAGCCAAAAAAATTAGACTCAACGTGAGCTCGAAAAGTCCGAGCGGAGCCGGGCAGGCTCAGTTTTGGTATTATTATTATTTTTATGTTTGCTGCCTTATTTAAACAACGTAGCAGCACGCTACCTTTTAAGTCAGCAGTTGCTGAAAGCCCGGCACCCCAAAATGGGGCTTGGCCCGAGCCGACGAGCCCAATTGCCATTTCTAGATTAGGCTCGAAAATAACTAGAGAAACAAATCGATAATTTTATTGCTTTTCATTGTGAACCAATAGAAACTCTTCACCTGCCATATTGTAAAATTGTGCATATCGCACCCATAGCTCTTGAACACCTACCACAGTCCATATATGTGTAAAAGATATAAAATTACACCAAGATCAGAAGTGACCCACAATTCCCAGGAAACGTCATACAACCCTATATGTAAAAACCCGTCTGAAGCTTGGAGAAAAATGTGAATGGCTTCTGATCTTTGATCTATTCCTTGCTCGATTCACCTTGAATCTTGAAGGTTGGGATGGTAACTTGATTTAAAGTCTGTGTTAAAAAAATATAATTTTTATGAAATTATATGGGAAATGAGAAGCCATCATGGGAATGCCAGAGGGGTGGTGGTTGCAGTGGGGGAGGTAAAGTCTGTACAAACATTAGAGAAGAGACGAGAAACAGTGACCTTTGGCTGTTATTCCGTAGGCAGCTCAAAGAATTTGAGAAAAACTTGTAGACTCCTTAATAGTAGCCAACATCTGGATCTCAATTGTTCATTGTTTTAACAATGAGGCAGTGCTGGCTTTCATGCCACTAAAATTAAACAGGTGACCAGGACATGGTCTGGTCTCTCCAAAAGGTCTTGGTAGCCTGACTTGGGGAAGAAAAATTATTTGCAGTTGGATTAATTAGTTGTAACTAGAAATAAGTCCATTACTTGGCAAAGGAAACTTCAAGATGCTTCCAGAGCAGGACAAGGATCGGTTTATGAGAAGATTCGAGAAAGAGTAGACATTTTAGACTTGCTATGTCATAGCTGCAATCTCTACCTACTACTACTATTCCAATGGAGACTCCATTTGTATGGATTGATGCGTTTTTCACCACACTACCACACCAAGTATCCCATATGATCAGCTGACGACACTTAAATGTCAAATCTTAACGGGTAGAAGATTAAACCTAAATCCATATTTGTAAAACTTTAGATCATCTCCATGCTTCTCCAAGACATTTGTTGTGTCCTGAGAGAGAGTGAAAAATTTATCTTTAGGGAAAGATTCTCTGCAGAATTTGTTGGGTTTAACTATGAGTAATTACTCTTCATTGTATAATGATTCTTTCCTGCAAAGTTGTTGTTCAACTTCTTGTCTGTTTTTCCAGTTGATTCATGGTGTGGAGCAAGCTTCAAGAATCTAATGAATTAGATGTTTTGTCACTAGATTTATCTCCTATTTGACAACCATTAAAATGAGTTTTTTTTTGGAGAAAATGAGTTTTGGAATAGTACATATGTATAATTTTTTTTGGAGAATATGTGGTTAAGAAGAGGAAAAAGTTTTGGATTTATGTACAAAATATTTTTCTTTGAGACTATGTAGTTGAAAATGAGTTTGAGAAAAATGAAATTTGTTTTAGTCTTTACTTTTCTGTCATAGTACAAATAACCCAATTACACCTTTTTAGCTTTGGAAAATGGAAATGTCCAGTGACTCTGGTACAAGCTACTCACATATGAATTCTGAATATTACTTTATGGGACATAAATGACTCGTCCTTTTTCGGCCTATCATTTAGCAAATGAAACTAGATAGATCAGTGCAATTGTGATTTTCGTGTTTGCATTGATAATTTTGGTTGATAGTCCAACTCAGTTTCCATTTTTTTTTCTCAGGAATGCTGTATATGCCTTTGTGCATATGAGGATGCCACTGAGCTCCATTCTCTTCCTTGCAATCATCACTTTCATTCAACATGTATCGTGAAATGGCTTAAGATGAATGCAACATGTCCGCTTTGCAAATACGACATCCTCAAGGGAAACGACCAAGTTTAAACAAAGAGAAGAAAACCTATATATCCGCTTGTCTCATCTAGAGGCACTGTGGAATCTGGGCTGGAAATGTACATACATATATATACATGTGGGAATAAGATGGCTTAGCTTCCTTGTACATTTTCCTATTACATGCTTTTCATACTTTGAAGGTCTTCAGCCTTTGTGATTCTTTTTTGTTTCCATTTGTTTTATAGTTGGTTAGAGTTAAAAATGGTGATTGAACGTAATATAAGCATACAGGTTGTGCTGATATAATATTTATGATTTTTATAGTTTATTATGCATTATTTTATGTATTTAATGATCTTAGATCAAAAGTACGTTTTTATATCAAGGTTCGCAAGAAATGAGACCCGACATTGTCGTCTTGTTATGCAGAACAATGAAAATTATAATGGCAACATCATTTCATTTAAGGCTATGTTTTCCGAACTTTTGTAAAGCGAGGTTGTAGATTCTCTTAACTTAAAAGTAAGGATATAAGCCCTTAGCCTATTTAAATTTGTGGATTTAGGTTCTTAAAGTGACCAAAACTACTTTTAGCATGGATAATAAAGCTGTGTACAATTTTCACCCGACTTGAAATTGGAGGACTAAGTCTCAAACAGCTTAACAATTCTCTAATTCAATTGTTCAACTTTAAAGTTCACACCAACAATTTTAGACACTTTGGATCACAAAGCTCACATTTGAAGGTCTTGGACTTATACCAACCCTATCGGCGTTTATCGATGATAAACTAAAGACAAAAAAGTTTGTTGGTGTTTACCAACAGAATGTTGCCGTGTCTAATAAGTGACAAAATTGGTTGTCGCTAATCTGTTGATGATTATCTACGATTGTGGCATGTGTGTGATTGTACATTAGGAGTGTCATTCGACTCGTGTTTATAGATTTTAAGGATGATGAAACTTGTAGTTAAAGATTTCATACCGTTTTGGTATTGAATTGGAAATATTAGACAACTATTTTATTCGTTGATCATTTATCTTGCAAGAAATCGAGTTTGATCTAGAGTTGGGCTACCTTTCTACAATACTCGTTGGCTGTGCTCAAGGCCATCTGTTGGCAAATTTCTATGATACCTAATGATCAAAGGATTTTGCTACATATACATAAAAATTGTAGATAATAGGTTACCGAAAATGATGTGGAAGGAAAATATTGAATAAAAAAGTTGATTATGTTTTAAACTGACAAACGATAGAGTGATGTGGACATTATGTAATCCATTATATAAACCTTAATATATATATAGCAAGACCCATGGTCAAAAAGTGTTGTATGGCCAAAAGTTGGCCAAGTGTTGATGTAATTTAATTCACTAGCTACAATATACTTTTATAACAAAGTGTAAAATTCTACTAAAGAAATAAAAAAATAAAATCAAATTAGGCTGAAATTAGTTGAACTCTATTACGATCGACGAGCTAGGTCTAACTTGTCAAATTTGACACACTGGGAATGTTGGTCAAATGGTCGATCATGACATGCTCGAGAATGTTAATTGTAGCAAGCTTGATATGCTCGTAAATGTTAATTGTTTTTACTCAAATAAATGCTTGTTTTGCTTTACGATTTGTCCTTTTCCGATCGCAACATTCTGGCTATATGTGTTACTTCCCTTTTGTGATAAAAAGGAGCTTGCCTAGCATCACATACTCATGTTAATTATCATTTTCACTCAATTAATGTCTTTCTCATTGTACAATTTATTATTTTCTCTATAGTCTCTATAATCCTACAAACTTTACCTCGTTCTTTGCTGTTATCACTTCGTCAGAAAAAAAGCGGGCTTAAAAGGGAAAAATAGAATATTCAATTAAATTTAGCTATTTTTTCTATAAAAAAATAATTATATTGGTGGACATTTATCTACCTTGAGATTGTAAATAATTTATTAAAAAATTATATAAATTGCACAATTTCTTTCAGAGCCAATGTAGTCTAAACAATCTAAAATATAGTCAGAGAAAAAAAGTGTTTCCTCTGGAGACGGTGGTTGGTCGTGACGGCGGCAATGGTGGGTTGATTTAGTTCGGTATAGTTGCGGATTGGTTGTTGGGGGCGGGGGTGAAAGAGGTGAATAGCGAGTTCCATTTTATTACTGTCTTTTTATTGAAGTTTTAAAATTTTAGGTTAAAATTGTAAAATTACCATTTTTTTTCCTTTTATATTTGGTAAAAGTCAAATGTTTTTGGTCAACTGATGATGAAATGGATCCATACATTTATCCTTATGTTGTAATAAATGAAAGTTTTGAGACGATAGATGGCACAAATTGAAATACTAAAAAAAAAAAGAGGAATTATTTGAGACTGGTGTTACAATTATCCCTAAACAAATTTCAATGATACAATAATAGATCGGATTGGAATGACTTCACTCTTGAATCATTTATCAAAGTATTTTTTTTTTTTTTTTTTTTTTTTGACAAGGGAACCCGCAGCCGCTACCTGAAAGTGCGCACTAGATAAACCCCGCCTTGTGATCCTAGCCGGCAAAGGACCACAAGGAGGTAAACCAGCTTAGGTTACCCATAGCTGACCGGCTCAAATCAAGAAGACCAATAGACAGCTCCAACAGGAATCGAACTAGCAACCTCACGATTTCTAGTCCAACTGCCTGACCAACTTGGCTGGGGTTGCCCCCATTTATCAAAGTATTGTTAACTAGACATTGGCTAGATGCTGACCAATTGTCACTTTAATAGGATTGGATGGAAAAATGTCTTTAGTAATTCGTTAGTCATTAGGAATAATTATGACTATAACTAATTAGAAAATAAACTGGATGTAATGAAAAGGGATTAGCAGCTTTAAAAAAATTTAGAAATTCTCTTTCAAATCAAACATAGCTTCTATCCATACATTTTATAAGATTCACAATATGTATTTGAAAAAAAGTTCCACCAATCACGTAGTACTGTGATTTTTATACATCTGAGAATCTGTAAGGAACTCAACGATGATTCATCGTGAGAGAAATTGCTCACATTGGTAATGATTTTGACGTATCTAATTTTACATTTGAAGCTTCTACACTAGAATTGGAAATAAGGGAAAGAAAAGGGGGAAAATATTGAAATTATAATCGAAGCTGTCAACATGCTCACGTTTGATGTAGCTAAAAATTGATAAAAGTTTATGATATGCAAGGTTGAATAGTTGATAAAAATTATGAGTTCATAAAATATGAGGTTAAAGGTTAATTGTTGAACTGAACTTGTATTTTTATCAACTTTTTAAGTTGATAAACATGCATGATAGAATGAAAATGAGCTTGGTGGTAGCATTATCGAAATAATGGACGTGTCTTGTAGTATCTCTGAAGATTATACAAGTTCAACTTTTTATGTGCGCTACCTAATTTATTTATCAAGGTAGAGAATGCAGAGACATTGGTTACATTTTAAAGGATTATAATCTTTGAATTGAACGATATAAACAAATGAAATAATGTTACGTTTTTATGTTATTTTTTAAACATTTGGATAATTTTATTTTTTTTAAAGCCACATTATGTTAATCAATGTTGTCTTGAACTACAGACAATAAGAAAAGTGGAATATAATTGAATCATTCGTGGAATACTCGGAAAGTGATAGCAAAAAATGCTAGTGTATGAGCAACATAATTTTTTGCATGGGTAATGAATTTAGAACAAGCTACACCGATGCTACATTACACAACAACGATGAGAATCGCTACGTTAGGGGCTATGGAAGGAATTGGCTGAGACTCTAAACAACTAGTTGTGCATCAATCTCCACCTCGATTAGCTGATGACCATTCACCCTAGCAAACTCAAGACCACCATGAAGTGCCAAGGTTTAGGCCTTCTCCACCTTAAATGTCTTGTCGAAAAGAGGATAATGCCATTTATAACGAATAAAGTCGTTTAGCATGTCATCAACAACATTAATTTTTCGAACAACGAGATTGAATAGAGTGACAAATATAGAAACTATACATCATTATTTCTTTTCGTAATTTTTTTTTTCTAAAGTTTAATGACTAACCTAGAGCCGCATTGAAATAATTAACCCTCAAATATGAAATATTGTCTCCTTAAGTACATAATTCTTAAAATTTATTTCTTCTTTAAATAGCTTTTCAATTTCACGTTCTTTAATAAAATAATTTTGAATGTAAATCCATAATTTCTTTTTCTTCTTAACCACATTAAAATTTTTTTTTAATTAAATCAACTTTCACAAAATTTATTCTCACAATAATTATTGCACGTTGATCCACAATTTTTTACTTTTTAGCATCACATTTAATACAAAAATGCCTAATGTACAGGCTCCCTCACATACTATGTGAGAGGGTGGGTGATTATTTAAAAAAAATAAAATTACTTACCTCCCTTATAATGTGTGTGGTCTGTACAGGCCCTGTGTTCACAGGGCCTGTAGAGGCAGCATTGTTATATTTAATATGAGGGTCATTAGGGCTACCAGTGCATTTGTTCCTTTGCTTGTCTGCTATCCTTAATTTAATAACGCTTTCCGTCAGTACGAGTGAATGTGTTTCAACTTTTCACAAAATGTATTATCAAAATATTTATATCAAACTTGCAAGCTTGTGCGTTGTAAAGACTAGGAATTTCTCAGCTTTTGCAGAATCATTGCCGTCAGAATTAACACAACGGCATCTGTTTGGTCTGTCAATCATTTTTATTTAATTATTTTCTGTACATATTGTAGCAGCAAGTTTTCTGTACAATTAGCAGATTTCAAAAACTAAAAAGAAATCCTAAACCTACCCCACACGGGTCGCATCGGCATGCCTCACACCCTCACGGGTCGGTCATTGGCTAAATGCACCCAACCGTTGCCTTTCAATTAAAGCAGCACCAGGCTGGGATGGGCTAGGCTCCCCTTCTTCATCTCTTCTCTCCCAATAACCAAATGCCCTCGTTATAAATTTGTTACTTCAAACCCACCAAATCCGTGTAAAAGATGAATTTTGGCAGCAAAATCCCTGTTTCTCTTTATCAAATTTTGTGCCTTTCTAATTTTCCCCATGTTTAATTAGATCTGCTCTCAGACTTCTACACTCCAATTTATTGAATATACAATACACATTGATTTTTGTAACTAAAATCATAAAACCCTCAATCTTACAAGTGTAATCTAAAAGTTAATGTAATAAAATTATAATAGAGTGAAAAAACTGAGGGTTTCTTTGGTTATTTTGTTATGGCTGATGCGTTGTCTGTGATTCCAGCAGCGGTTCTACGTAACCTCTCCGATAAGCTCTATGAAAAGCGCAAAAATGCGGCTCTTGAGGTCTTAATTATACATCTATGTATTTGTTTGTATGGTATTTTGTTTTATCGGTTCTTGGGGTAATTATTATTATTATTATTATTTTGAAATCGTTGGGTTTCCTGGGTTGGTGGGTTCTAGGTGGAAGGGATAGTGAAGCAATTAGCGTTGGCAGGAGATCATGATAAAATTACTGCGGTGATAAATTTGTTGACCAATGAGTTTACCTACTCCGCGCAGGCAAATTATCGCAAAGTAAGTTATGTTTGGTTTGGTTTTCTTAACTGACATTGAAATGAGGCTTATTCATTTAACGTTTTAGTTGATGTGCTGATTTTTAATTTGGTTTTGTTTTATGTATATACTATTTTGCATTTAGGGAGGGTTGATAGGATTGGCTGCAGCAACAGTAGGTTTGAGTTCCGAAGCTGCACAGCATCTTGAGGTAACAATGCCGAAATGTGTGAAGTAACGGATGAAGATTTTGAACCTTTACTCCATATGCGAATTTTTCCTTTCCTTTTCTGATTCGAATGCATTTATAGATTTATTTATTTATTTGCTTCAACCATGAGGCTAAGATAAAATATTGCAATTATATTTCTTTGTACATGTATAAATGCTTTAAGTTCATCAAAAGAAGAATGGCCCAACCGAATGCGTAAGATGACTGTAAAACATGGTTTAGCCGAGTTTAGTTCCATCAACTTAAAAGAGGGGAATGATCCATGTGAATAGTTATGTCAT